TCTGATCAATTATAAAGCCTGGTTGGTGAAGGAGTCCAAATGGGAAGAGAAAGCTTGGTGCAAACTCTGTAAAATCACTGGACATCTGCAACATGGGGGAGGCAGCAATTGTAGGAGAACTGCAATGTCCACTGGTCACAGCATCTCCTGATGTGCATTGAACCTGCCTGGGTTTGGTGTTAATTGATTGGTATGATCAGTAGCACCTACTTACAATCTTATGGCAATTATTTGTTAACAGTTGGATTTTAAATCCATCCATTAATTTTCATCTGCTTATCCAGGGCTGGGTCGCAGGGGCATAAACATCTAGCTGTTTGTACTCAGCTGTCAAATACGGTCTGAAAAATCTACAGAGAAGTCTGTCTGGAAATATGTGGAACTGTGAAATGGAAAATGTGTCAGATCCATCAGAAAAGTGCCTGTGAAATAAAGCAGGTCATTTGCTCTGACTGTGAGGAGACAGGATCTAATTCCCATCTTGGCATTTCTATGCAATCAGCTGTACGCCACTGAAGAGCAAGGTCAGTGTCCACCTGATTGATGATTGCTTCCACTCTGGTTTTTATGAGAGTTCCTGTCATGTCTGTAATACAAGGACGACATTACAACATAAAAACACACTTGTTGAGACGTGCATCTTCAGACATGGAAATATTTTTAATGCAACACCACAGACGGACACAAATCAGCATTTCTGGTAACCATCGCCTGTCTGATTCATTCAGCTCTGTAACTTCCTCTGTGACGAGATACATGTGCTGAGGCTTGAGTTTATGTAATAAATACAATTGACATGATCAAGAAAGAAGATAGGTCCAAACACCCACCTCTTCTATGTGCTGTTATTAATAACTGGCCCACATACCGTCACCCCGCTCTGGTTTCTTGTGCCAGTCAGCTGCCTTTTGGAGAGCTGTGTCCACCCTGTGTCACTGGATCCATACTGTCAGAGGTGAAGCAGTGCTGAGGATCCTTAGTCCACCAAGTCATTAAACTTCATCTAACTGTATTTGATTATAACCTTAGAGGTTGGCGCTGCAGTTAAACAACTACAGAGCCCTAAATTCCTGAATACTTGCATTTTTTTAATCTCATGGGAACAAGTTATTATCTTGTGTGCACAAATGAATTATCTTGTGGTAACAAGTTATCTTGCACAAGTTTTTATCTTGTGACAGGACAGTGTCGGCATGAAGGGGGGAGAGTGAGGGGATGTCATGCAGCAAAGGGCTGCAGCTCAGAATCGAGTCTGCCAGGTGAGCTACTCAGCGCCCCACAAGTTACTGTCTTGTGGGAACAAGTTATCTTATGCACCCACGTTAACGACCTTGTTTGGAACAAGTGTTCATCTGGTGTGCACAAATTAACTGTCTTGTGGGAACAAATTAATTTGAGCACACAAGTATAGTAATTATTTTGTTGGAAAAACATTACTATTTTTTTTTTTTAAAGATTGTTTGTGGGGGTTTAAGCCTTTATTTGACAGGACAATGTGAGCATGAAGAGGGTAGGAGAGGGGATGACAAGCAGCAAAGGGCTGCAGGTCAGAATCGAGCCTGCCCCACAAGTTACTGTCTTGTGTGAAAAAGTTATCTCATGCGTACAAATTATCTTGTGCAAAGAATTTCTCTCATGTGCTCAAGTTAATTATCTTTTTTGGAAGTTTTTATCTTGTGTGCACAAATTAATTGTCTAGTGGGAACAAGTTATGTCATGCACACAATGAACTTGTATAGTACGTTCTTTATGTTTTTGGTCACATGGTTATGTCACTGTTTATTAATAGTGCTTATGTCTTGTTTTTGCTTATGTGCCTTGCTAAGTGCTTTTGTCTGTGGTTACATGCTTGCTCTGTGCTTATGTGCCCTTAATTTGTGCACGCAAGATACTAACTTATCATCTCCTTTCTCTCCCCCCGTCCTGTCAAATAGAGGCTTAACCCCCCCCCCCCAAAAAAAATCTTCAAAGATATTAACTTACTTCCCATAAGATAAAAACTTGTGTGCACAAAATAACTTGTTCCCAAGAGAGAATTACTTGCTCCGACTAGACAGTAACTTGTGCACACAAATTAAAAAGTGTAAGCTTTCAGGACGCCTTTAGAGGCTCTGTAAAAACTGATTATTCGCAATCAAATACCAAAAAATGAGCATAAAGGATCAGATTGTTCTGAGCGACTTGAAAAAGACTTAAAACTGAACACAAAGAAACAAACTCCACCTGCTTTTTTATTTAAATAATAGAGCTCTGAAACACACACAGTATTTACAAAGATACATTTTAGCTCGCAACAAAAAAAAGAAGTGATTGAACTGAAAAAAGATGGCAGTTTATACTCTATTACAGCAAATTCTTCAGCCAGTGATATAATGTGTCACCATCCTTAGGTACATTCTAGGCTGCAACTATCACAGGTCACTTATATACACCTGCAGTTTGACGACTGATGTGGAAATATATTGCTGGGATGGAGGCTGAGGTGATCATATAATACTCTTTTTTCTGTTCGAATTGTGTTCTCTTACTTAATGTTTCAGTGATTCACAGAGTATTGGCACCTACGATAATAAAACTTGGCAATAAATTCAATTTGTACGCAACATACTGAAAATAAAACATCTTTAGCAAAAAATATTTGAGGTGAAGATGCATTCTTACATGGTGCAATATGAAAGCTGTGCCTGAAATGAATTCCAGTATGGTATATAATAGACTTAATCTATATTAATCCTTAAAGAAATAACACTCAAAATGGCATTTAACAAGCTTTAATAAGTTAAACTGTGATTTTCTTTCTACCTTTTAATGTAACAGCACTGTAATCACACTGATTTTGATTTGATAAACATTCTTCATGCACTGATGATTAACTGTCCCTTCATTTCCAATCACCTTACCAATACAGAAACACCACATCAGTTACGCAGCCAAAATCCATCTTTAACGAATAATCCAGTTTAATTGTGTATGAGAATTAGAGTATGTTTTTCCATTGACCTTTTGCAACTTGAACATAACAAGTACAATCAATGAACTTCATGAGCCCTTAATCATGGAATAAAAGCCACGGGCAACATAAATCTCAACTAAGTGTCGTCATGCCTGAACAATACAACACGTAAACACTAAGAAATGTACTAGACTACCTTTGCCTTTTTGTTAGTTACATCCATGCATAATAATATATATAAATAAAAGCTAAAACAACCAAAAAAATAAGCATGAAACTCAGAGACAATGATACATGATTGATGTTTTATTCTACAGCCCACCAGTATATTTTTAACTACAACTTAAGCGACGACCTTCAGTGGATGGACTGTAAAATAAAGAGGAGGAAAACCTTTACGGTATGTATTAGAAGTTGCTTATCACTGTTTATAATTAGGGATGCACAATACTGGATTTTTTTGCCGATATGCTGATATGTAACAACTAAATTGACCGATAACAGATATCGATACACACTTTTTCCATCATCTAGTCTCTTCTGTAGTGAAATAACATCATATAAAGCCAATATTGATGACGTGCCGATAGTATTGTGCATCCCCACTTACAATCAGTGGATCCTATACCTGTAACCTAATCAGATGATCAATTAAAAGTCCATGATTCAAATAAGATCATCTGAAACCATACTTTTTTAAATATAAGGCTGTAGTTCTTCTATTAGATGTGCAGCATTTTTGTTGGAATCCCATCTACAATATTTCACAGTAGCCTCCAGCCTGTCCATGGCTTCATTCTTGTTTGTGCAAAGTTAAATTCAATCCCCTCACCTCTTAGTTTCTCATGCTGGGCTGCAAAATAAGGCATAATTAAAAAGTAGCGGGCCAAGTCTCAGTGTCCAAAAACACAGTTCTCACAGCACAACAAAAGCCAAGTTAAAGCTAATTTTCCCAAACCTCAAATTCACTTGAGGGCACAGCTTACTAATGAAGATTTTTCCCTTTTGCAAAGTGTTGCACTTCAATTATACTGTCACAACATACAGTGACATCACACTTTAAGTGTCCCAAACATGGCACATTTAATTTAAACCCTAATGAACTGGTAAAAGTCTGCATAAAAACCACTGATGAATAAATTAAAAAAGGATGAAATCAATAATCGTTTTGCACCAAGTTCACTATTAAATATCAAATATTAAAAACTGAAAGGTCCAGTGTGCAGGATTTAGAGGGGTATATTGGCAGAAATGGAGTATACTATACTAAGTATGTTTCTTTTTGTGTACAATCCTCGTCCACAGAGTCCGCTATGTTGCACAGCTGTGTTTCTACAGTAGGCCAAAGCAGACAAACTAAACACAGACTCTAGATAGGGCCATACATGTTTTTCCACAACATTTTTTTTAACATAAAGCTGCTTTATTCAGTGGTTTTTACTGGTTTAAATCACTGGGTCCATTTGTTTTGGAGGGGAGGAGATCTCTGTGGATAATTTGGTTCCCAGTAAAAACCTCCTGAACGTCTAGATCTTAGGTTATCAGGAAAAAAATGCCCAGGTGCTAGGCTAGTGGCCCATCTACGATGAGCCAAACAGCATTAGAGAAACACTGATTTGTAAAGAGAAACTGCTTTTTTCAGTGTTTTCACCAGTTTAAATCACCACGTTTGTTTTGGAGAGGAAAGATACATCTGTGGATGATTCTGCTCATGGTTAAAACCATCTGAACGACAATTTCACATTATAATCCTTCATGCTTGGCACATGAAAGAAGTTTCAGCTGCAATCCTCACGGCTAGATGCCACTAAATCCTACACACTTCAATTTTAAAATTACTGTAGATGATAAAAGTGAAGGCAACAAATAGGCTCTCCTGACACAGTATAAGCAGCTGATGCAGGCGCTGAACTCAACGAAAAACTGAACACAATTTGACTTGATAACGTGTCTGTGTGCAAACGTCTGTTTCTAAAAAAACAGTAGGTTTTTTTTTGAGTGTCACTGTGGTGTGTTTGTTAAAAATAAGTGAGTCGACTCTCTACCATTGGTAACATGATGTTGCAATGATTTACTGTTTTGTTTACATAAACACAGCTTGTAACTGCCATGGAGCGAGAGCAATGGCGGGTTCCTTCTGCTAAACAAGGATCCCGTGAGTGGAGGTAGACAGAAAAGTTGACAGAGAGAACACGAGGAGGAGGAGATGAACAAGAATTTGTCGAGGCAGGCATTCCAACATAATGCTTACAAGAGTTGGATGTCTAATATCTTCAGGAGCCGTGATGTCTGATGTGATGGTGGGGACTCGGAGGTGGTGGGCGACTAAGCAGCATCATGCAGGTTGGTGTAGATAGAGGAAATAAAAGGTTGGTATGGTTTAAGGCCAGATGAGAACATATAGCTGCTGAGATCACGTCTGATGCACCTCGTGAAACATCAGCTCTCGTGGGATACGAGTCTCTGGGCCGTAGATCTTACTGGCTCGCCGCTCGAATGCAGCAACATTCTGCTTTACAACCTCGTCAAAGAACATGGTGGCTAACTGGGAGTGCAGCAAAGAGCGGAACTCAAAGGATATCTGTTGAAGATACAAAGATAAAATCTCTTTAGTGTATACCAGAGGAAGTAGAGTCATGAAAATGCAACAATAGAGGGTGAAGACAACAGTTTGAAAAGGAAGAGTTTGATTATAATGAGCTTATTTGCTTTATTGGTAGGGGTTAGATTAGAAGATGGATAGTATTCTCGTGTCATCAACTAGCAGACAGCTAGCTTAGCTTAGCATAAAGAACGGAAACAGCTTTGTCCAAAGGTAACACAGGTTAAGTCTTCAACTATCCCCACAATAAGTAGACTGCAAGCTACTTACAGAAAAGTCTACCGTGCAGGTGCGAGGGTAACCAGGAATGCCAGGACTAAAGCGCCATATTGTCTCCAGGTGATTGAACAGCTTTCCATCTGTACACACTGCCTAAAATAATCCAAAAGACAAACTCTGTGACTAGAAACAGGAAATTTGAGCAGGGTGTTTTTTGACATCACAAACATTTTTTGCTTCAACTAAATATTTAGCTGGTGTCTCAGTGGGTTTTGGTTTCAGGTAGTTATGAAATTTAAACTGTTATTCTCATCGCGGCAATATTAAATACACTCACCATCCACAGACATTACATTAAACTCAAAGATATATCTAGTGTTGTCACGATACTGGAATTTCTAACTTCAATACAATACCTTGAAAAATATCGACATTCGATACCATTTTCAAACTCCACACAGAATGAACCCCACTCTGGGTCTGAACCATGAACTCTGTATCACCATTTCAGCGTGGGTTTCCTCCAGGTGCTCCAGCTTCCTCCCACAGTCCAAAGACATGCAGGTTAATAGGTGACTCTAAACTGTCCGTAGGTGTGAATGTGAGTGCGGACAGTTTTCTGTCTCTATGTCTCAGCCCTGTGATAGTCTGGTGTCCTGTCCAGGGTGTATCCCACCTCTGGCCCAATGTCAACTGGAATAGGCTCCAGCGCCAACCACAACCCTCAAGAGGATAACCGGTTACAGAAAATTAATGAATGAATGTTACAAGCAGAGATGGCGAAGTGACTGTAGTAAACAGTTACAATACTTAAAACAATATTCTTCTTGCAGTCGTGCCCATGTTCAAAAGCCTCTGAGACTGACATATTTAAAAGGCAATAAAGTCCAAGTAAACACAAATTAAATCTTTGCCGCAGCACCCTATATGCAACCAGAGCGAATGAGACGTGTGCTGAAAAGACTGCACTATCAGTGAGTAAAAAGAGGCAGCTGTATTAGGGGCAATGCAGCAGTACAGGTTTCAACTTGCTTCAGAGATAAGAGAGAGTGAGGAAGTAGTTTTACTGTTTCAAATATTCAGAAACAATATGTATCTTTAAAATCAACATTTTTGACAACACTAGATATATCATCATTTACAGGACTGACAGACTCAGTGAAGCTACTGGCACTTACTTTGACTAGATGAGGCCGGACACAAGTGATCATAGACGTGTATCTCTCCACCACTGGAGGGAATCCCACTTCAAGTTGGGCTTTGGAGTGGCTTGCTCGTTTCATGATGGTCTGGGACTTCTTACACCAGGGCACAAAGTTCTTGTACTCATCAACATTGGCCACCACATCATACATTTCCTGCATAGAAAAGCTATGACAGAAAGCATTGACAGGTTATGTAATTTCAAAAATAGATTTAGGAGATAAAGGTAATACTAGCTCCTGCTGAAAAATTACCCAAGTATCCTACGCTCGGAGTACTCCTTCCTTTTGTTGGTGAGACTGATGAAGTTTCTGCTTTGGGGAACAGTAGTCATTGTGTCCCAGTCTTGAAGGCAAAGCACTTTGGGAGTTCTTGTCATCAAAATGCCGCATGACGACAAGTGTCTGAAAAGGTAAGAGGAAATGTCCAGTAAGCCACATTCTGGAAAGAGTGCAACCTGCCACAGGTACAGTCCAAAACATGAAAGGCCCACTACATTCCAGTTTCCAGGTACTGAAGTCCCAAACACGCTGGAACAGGAGATAATGGAAGGTCTCTGTGTGTTGTGACTGTGCTGGTATTTTCTGAGTAGGGCCTCTTATGTGAATAACAAATAGCAATGCAATGTGACACCCACTCAGGCTTGTTGTACCACATAGCAATGTGTTTTCCAGTAGGTAACCTATTGATCTCGTTAATACATGAAATAAAACATGCATCATTACTTACTGGGGATAGAAATGGCTGATATTGCCTTAAAGTATTACCACAGTATTGCGAAATAAACCCATATTGTGACTATTCTGACAGAAACTGTGATTGTAATGAGTCACAAATTTAGTGGGAATGGTCATTTTTGTATTTTATTGTCACTGAAAATTTTTATAAAAATGATGATGATGTATTTTTTGCTGGGGTCTGCACCAAACAAGCACAATCCTTAATGTGTGGAATATGATTTGTAGGCTGAGGCATCTCTGTGGCACTGCAATGCTTTATTTATAATGATATGTTGTGACAAATTTTACCTTTAACCCAAATATGCAGCTCTTGCCTTTTGGATATTGCACTTGGCAGTATTGCGATTTCCCTAATATTTACTTTGTAGCCTTAATTACAGGATTTGCAATAACAATATCTATAATGATGAGATAACAGCGTGAAAAATACTTCATCATTAATCATTAATTGCTGCTGTAGATTAAGTCTGTTTGGTTGTTTGGACTTCAAATAATTTGTGCTCTCTTCATATGATTTTGACTTACTTTATATAATATGGTTGTGCTGCCACTTGTTGCAACTACAGTCTTCTTACGTGATTACATATTACCATGGTCACATACTTTTTTCTTTATTCTTAGGGCTGCAACTGACAATTATCTCTATTGTCTGTGGATAATTTTCTCAATTAATCAATTAGTTGTTTGGCATATAAAGTGTCAGAAAATGGGGGCAATTGTCAGTTGGTGTTTCCCAGACCCCAGGATGACATCCTCAAATGTCTTGTTTTGTTGACACCCCAAACGTATTCAGTTAAATGTCACAGAGGAGAAAAGAAACATGAAAATATTCAAGTTGAGGAGGCTAGAATCAAAGAATTTGGACTCAATTACTCAAACCGATTAAGCCATTTTCAAATTAGTTGCTGATTAAGTTAATAGTTGATCAATTAATCCTTTCAGCTCTACTGAATACACTTATCACATTTAAACTGTACCAATATGACCATGAATGATACAACATGGCACACCCCAACTGGTGATGCACTCAAATTTATCAATATTCTACCTATATCAGCTGATACAAATTTTAACAAGCAATACGGTATTGATCCAACATTAATAGTTATTCCTTATGACTAGCTCATTGTGAATTTTTTTGTTGTTTTTAGTAGAAACAAGTCGGTAATACATTTGGCAGATTGTAGTAAATTTGTGTGTGCTTTGGAAAAAAAGAACTAACAACAACCATCTTGAAGAAGCCATGTCCGGGAATTACTTAACATCTTTCAAATACATAATCAATATCATCCAATATTGGTGAGACAGTACTGAATATTGATAACTCGATTCAGTAACATATGTGTCTGACACTTGAACATGTATACATTATATGAATTATCGGGTCTAAACTGTGACACTAGCTACCAGGGTATCAAAGTTCTCGCCCTAATGGAGGATCGTCACACTGTAGAGATAAGGAAAACACAAATATGACTGCCCTGACACAGTTAGCTTGTAACCTTCCCACTGTGCACCCTCCGATCCAGAGACACCTTGTCTCTGTGTATCGTTATAATAATAGACTCGAGTGTTTCCATGACGGTCTTACCTGATGTTTTGTCGCAGGCATCCTCTGGACACCGCTGTGCGACACACTCGAGGGGAACCCACAGTAGCAATCTGCAGAAAGTCACTAAATGTCCGCACACCCATGGGCAACCGCCGGGCACTGGCCGTGGCTGCCATGTAACCGGCCACTCAGCTCAAAGGAGGGAGATCCTGGGTCTGAGAAGCTGAGCCCAGGGATCTGGTCCGACACCGGGCGGTGAGTCAAGGCTCCGGTGCAAACACCCTGCTTCAATGCGGGGTATATTAACTCACAGGTAGTGTAGGTAGCTAATTCTAACTACCCAGAATGTGTAGCATTAGCTGGCTGGTTGACTACCGTCGCGTCAACAACGTCTTCTGCCGCTTTTAGAGCTGTCAGCGTAACTATCGTTAGTTACAACAGTCGGCTGCTAACGTTAGCTAACGTTAGCTAGCAAGGTTTCATAACGAGCAAAACCAAACGCGACGTACAGCCGCGTTCCACTACGTTTTCAGCAGTACTCACATCACTCCGCGTCCAGAGTTACAAACTTACGACAAAATTAAAATTATTTGGGCTCGTTTTGTGTTTGAGAATTGTCAAATACCGCCCAGCTGCGAACGACCTTCTGCCGCTACGTGAAACGCCGGTGGGACAAACTGTTCCTTTCTTCTGTCGGTTGGTCTTCGGTTTAAACCAACGTCTCTGCGGTGAAATGCTGCCCCCTACTGTGACGGAGGTTAACGGCTGTTTAGAAATTAAATTAAATTGAATTGAATTGAATTGAATTGAATTGAATTGAATTGAATTGAATTAAATTGAATTAAATTATTAAAGTTCGTATTTCTGTATTATGATTTTATTTTGAAACATGTTTATTTTTTACTGTAAAATATTCAGTCAAAAAAGATTCATATTTGTTAAACTCTATTTTTTAGCAATATATATTTTAAAAAAAGTTTACTCTTCATTTTAAATAATGTAATGTTAGCGACCTATTTTCTAAAATAAGGAAATAAAAAAAGTTATTACATTGTTCACAGTGTAATCATGCTGAACAGTCTCAGTGGGCCCCCATCCTTCCACTTTTGATCCATGTCTCTCCAAGCACCTTTTAAATTCTCCTTCTGTCTTTCTATCTTTCTTTCTTTGGAACCCCACTTTCTCGTTAATTGACAAAGAAATGACAGTGTATACTGGTGCTCCACCAGCACCAGTTTTGAGATTAATCCAATGCATGGGTGGAGCATTTTGTGCATTTAAGGGGTGAGAGGGGCCTCAGAAAGATTGAACTGTTTTAATTGAGTTATGGCACTGATTTCTTAGAAACAAAAAAGCACAAACAAAAACCAAACTTTTCATTCAAGGCTTTTCGAAAGCTCCCCTCCCATCGGCCCCGGGGTAATCATTCACACTTTTCCCCCCACTATGGCGCCACTATAAGATAAACTTCATACTATCAAATCTCTTTAGTCTTTTTTTAATTATTTTATTATATTAGTAATGATGACTGATCCATCTCCATGACAACAGAGCAACATTTGTCTGCTGATGTAAACCGTGAAATGCAGTTGGAGGTCACAAGCAGCTAATGAGTTGAAAATTGTTTTCTCAAGATATAACAGAGTCTGCTCAGTAACATCTAGCTTACATAGCTTTTATTAACTTTTATAACGTTTCTCTCTCTCTAATTTTGCTGCACCAAAAATTACACCATTTATCATAGCCAGAAAGTGTAAAAACAGAAGTTATTGTTGGACTTTCAAATTTCCGACAAATAATCCTTGGGCATATCATGTGCAACAAATGCTTCTGTCAGGAAAACAAAAACAAAAACAAATCTGAGCTTAGCAAGGCTTTTTTTCAACTCCAAGATTTTGTCTTCAACTTTATAACTTCAAACATCAAAGGGTAAGTTTTAAAATCTAATAACTTGTTTATGGTGTTTGGAGGGTCATGCATTTTCTTATTTAGCTTCAGGGAGGGTCAAAAAACAAAGTCACACCCCAGCCTCCGCCCTCCTCTGATAAGTAAAGAACAGTCCCTAATAGGTATCAAATTATTTTCTCAAGCTGCAACAGACTCCTCTAAATAACAATAGGCTGTATAACTTTTATTAACAGTTGTTTGAAGTTTTTCAAATTGAGAAGAGAACATGTATGCGAGGCTCATCTGTCAGTTTCTACAAAAGATGGCAGCCTATCATTTCCTGTGTTAACACTCTTACCTCTCTGGATCTCATTGCATGTAATTTCTTGGAGTAAACATCTTGACTATCTTTCCTATAGTGTTCTTATCCCTGCTCCTAGTCTTTTTTATTTTTTGTTACTTTCAGGGTTGGAAGTGTGTGGGGGTGTTAAGATGGGGTGGAGTTTTGTTTTTCTGTTTTACCACATCACATAGAGGGCGGGGAGGGGAAAGAAAAAACACTGGAACATATATTTGTACTTTGTATTTGTATTTGATGGTGGTTCCCAGTTAAAAAATAATAATAATAATAAAATAATAATAATTATATTATCAGGATTATCTTGGAGTAAGTTTCTTGACTATCTTATGGTCTTCTTATCCCTGTTCTTTAAAAAAAATATATATATATAGTCTTTATTTTTTGTTTTTTGTTATTTATTTACAATTACTTTCACGGTTCAAGGTAAACAGGTGGGGTGTTAGGATAAAGTTGAGTTTTGTTTTTCTGCTCTACCACACCACAAAGAGAGTGGGGAGATGGAAAAAACTGGAACATTTACTTTGGTTTTGATATTTGAACAATACTGGTTCCCAATATAAATAAAATAAAATAAAATAAAAAAAATAAGAATAATAAGATTCCAAATCAGTCCAAAATCTCCTGGAAATTTCACATTAAAAAAAAATTGTTTTGGTGTCTCTCTAATCCTAGAAGTTTCACTTGACCTCACAGTTAGTGCTATCCCTGATGCCACCTCTGTTAAAATGCTTTACCGTTTCCTACCACACGATGGCGCCATTTCACCCGCGCAGGGTCGAAAACAGACCGCCACGCCTGTAGGCGGACCAGCACCATCGTAGCCTGCATCGTCAGACCAGACATTGGATACAGACAACAACAGTGACAGATCAAGACCGCATTTCTGTTTGCAACCAGCTATGGGTGTAGTCTGAAAAGTGGATACAGTAGCGCACCGCAATATACCTCGAAGTTTTATCCTCATGAAGGAGCTCCGTCCTGGCTGAGTTTGGGAGATGGGAGTACTCAACATTGCAGACCAGGTACCCTGAAAGAAAGCGCTCCGTGTTCGAGCTGTGGCGCAGTCTATTTGCTGGAAGTGCCCTGCTCTTGTGCGCAGCATACTACGTCTTATCCGCGGGGCGAGTTGTTTCATATTTAGCTAATTGGTGGTGCATGTTTGTCGGTAGCGGGATCATAACGGTGTATTTCCCTGTGGTTAGCGGTGCTCGGTGTGTCTGTGTTAACATATATGGTGTTGGTGCTCTAGTCTAGGCCCTGGTCTGGGTCGGGGCCAGCTCTGGAGCAGAACTAGCTACCAAGAGCCTTTTGGCTAGCTGACGTAAGAAGGGAGACAAGGGCCTGTAGGCCTCAGCCAGGGCTCTGTGTATTTGCTGGGGTGAAACAAGACTCGCACTCGGCTATTTAACGCTACAGTAAACACACTAAATACAACATTGAACACCACGATAGCATATTTTACTATTTCACTGAATACTTATTTGCTTTTACCAAAATGTGAGCTGCTCAGATAAATCTTAGTGTGATGGAAAAACACCAATCGTTGCACCGGATCAGCGTTCACGTAATTGCATGCAACGTAACTTAGCAGGTATTTTCTGTGTTGCAGCCTCCTCTGGTCCAGGCCATCTTCAATCGTAATGCTGAAGAAGTTCAACTATTATTGCACAAAAAGGAGGATGTCAATGCACTGGTATGTGTGATGCACTCTCAGTTTCATTGCAAACAGGTTCATGTCATAAAGGACTCGGGCCCTGCAAAATATAAGCGTTAAACATGAGGGCTATACGTCATATCTACTGTAATTGATTATATGTTTATCCCAAAAGGACCAAGAGCGCCGTACGCCACTTCATGCTGCTGCCTGTGTGGGTGACGTCCATATAATGGACCTCCTCATTGAATCAGGTGAGAGAGCTGTTTGCATCACTGATACATGGCTGTGTGTTACGAACATGGGGTCCTGTGTGTTGGTTAAATGTGGTGCATACTTTTACCTTTGTCCTCACCCTAACAAATATCTCCATTATTGTTAGATCACTGTGCTTTTTTCTTCTTTTCACCTTAATCACCCCTAAAATGTTTTTCTTTGTGTGACTACCAGGTGCCACTGTAAATGCTAAAGACCATGTATGGTTGACCCCGTTGCACAGGGCGGCTGCTTCCAGGAACGAAGTAAGCAATAAACTCATATCCCTTTGCCATTTCGAGGAGTCTCATTATCTCTCAGTCAGATGACTTCATCCTCTAATTCCATTATGTATTCACCCACAGCGATTACAGAACTCATTAGGATTTATGCACCAAAATATTGTGCTGACTGAAGGAAACGCAGCAAACTGCAGATATGATATATGCTTTAAGCTCTTGTGATTGCCTCCCTCTCCCCAGAGGGCAGTGGGTCTGCTGCTGAGGCGTGGAGCAGAGGCAAATGCACGAGACAAGTTCTGGCAGACACCACTGCATGTGGCTGCTGCCAACCGTGCCACACGCTGCGCAGAGGCCCTGCTGACCCAGCTGAGCAACCTGAACATGGCAGATCGCACCGGCCGAACTGCCCTGCACCACGCAGCTCAGAGTGGGTTCCAGGAGGTGAGTTATTGGCTTCTGTTTTAGAGATGTTCTTAAATAAAGAGGAGTGTTTTTTCTGTGATTTAATATATCTGTCTTTCAGATGGTGAAGCTGCTGCTGAACAAAGGGGCCAACCTGAGTGCCATCGATAAGAAGGAAAGACAGCCTATCCATTGTGCTGCTTACTTGGGTGAGCAAGTTTCACTTTCTTGCCAGGGCGGCACAGCACACATTTTCATTGTCTCATAGCAGTAAATGCTCCTATTGTTCATGACTAGTTTGACTCTGATGAAGAGCAAAAACATTGCCAAGTCCTTACGTCATTATCTGGTGGTAAAAGACACCGCAGTCACTGAATGAACCAATTGTTGTCTGTTTGTGGCCATTACTAATTTGACTCATGAATTCATGTTAGAGATAATACGAAAAATGTTTTTTGTTGTGTGTCTCCTGTAGGGCATTCAGAGGTTGTGAAGTTGCTAGTGTCCCGCAGTGCAGACAAGAGCTGCAAGGATAAGCAGGGCTACACACCTCTCCATGCTGCTGCTGCAAGTGGTCACATCGAAATTGTAAAGTACCTACTGAGGATGGGGACAGAGGTGAGTGATTAACCTTTGTTATATATTGATTTTTAAATTTGCCAAATTATACTGTCTTACTATGTGTTTCATTAAATGTCTTTTATGATCCGCTGTATTCTGACACTTATTTTAAGGTGTCCATGAATCCCTCCGCTCAGGCTCTTGTAGGCTCGGTCTGATGTTGTGTCACGTTTGTGTTTCACTGTCAGATTGATGAGCCCAATGGCTTTGGAAACACTGCGCTCCATGTGGCTTGCTACATGGGTCAGGAGGCTGT